CATTCAATGAGCTTTCTCTGGGTAGAGTTCTGTTTTCAGCGGGCTCTTAGTAGGGCTTGGAAAATCTTGAAAATGGAATGCTCATTTTTTTTTTGGAAGACTTTTTTTTGAACCCACCAATTTTATGAAAATTAAGCACATTGTTCATTGTGTAATTATAGATGAAATATTAGAGAAGTGGACTAATTATACACAATGCACTCAAGCCCAATTAAACCAGCATCTGTGGTGAATGTAAGGATATTCTCTTTCACTAATAAGAAATACTTTCTGAACAACGGAGAATAAAATCGTTAAATTGGATATGCTGTAGAGATTATAAATATCCTATTAGCATATGAAATGAGGATTAACCTTATTTAATCACTGCATGCCAGATCATCAAAAGTCATGTTGCACCCCTGTAATGTTGCTGTGTCTATTCTGCAAAATAACAATAAAAAAACCACTATTAATAAACATAGCTCACTAGATGCTGTTCTTGCCTACTAAATTAAACTGTTGGAGAAATTCAAGTATTCCCTTAATTGCTTAACAAAATAGCAAAACTACTTGTACCTATTCACTGTGATATTATGGGTGATTCAGATTTATTTATCATCTAGTGGCTGGAAAGGTGTGTCTTTCAGGCTAGGCAAATTAGCCTACTTCAAAATAAATAAAATATACAATCCATTCCAGCTAGCACCACAAGTGACCTTTTGAAAATGTAAATTAAGTGATGGCAAATACCGAAGTGTATTCAAAATGAAAATGTATGGGCTGAAGACATAGAGCCACCATTGCTTCAGGTATTAATTGGCAGACTATGCATCCAGGGATATTTGTCTTTTAATCTGGGTCATGGAAAGTTCCATTGGAAGATACTCATGACCATAGTTTTTATGATTTAATAATCAGACCTGGGTGGTGCAACCTCTGTAGTTCAACAACAAGGAAGGGGATTGGGGGTTATACAAATTCAGGTTGCAGCTAATTAAAAATATCGATCACATGCAGCAACAAAAAACCAATGACAGCAAAGTTGAAGGCAGCGATTTCGTATATGTTCATAGATTGTGGTCTGTCACAGCTAAGGGACAGAGATCAGTCAAAAGGGATGGGTGATTCAGGAGGAGGTCTTTGTCGGAATGGAGGAGAAAAGCTGAAATCAATTTTTCTTCCTTTTTCTTTCCTCCCTGTTTCTTTCCCCTTCTTTAAAATCTCTCTCCTTCCCTCCCTTCTGAAGAGTTCTTCTTTGTATTCATGCCTTCCAAGACTTGAAGGCCATTTTTCTTTCATTCTTGTGAAAATCATAATTATAGGGCCTGGAATATGGAGATATTGATAAATATTGAGAATAATTCTGGTTATTACAACTTCATGTTTCTGATTTGGTACTCTTTTTAATAAAAAAAAAAACAACCATCAACATATATACCTCTTTTTTAGTGAAACCATTCCTCTTAGTTTCCTTATTCATTCTTATTTGAGAAAGTAAGTTCAGTCCAAAGTGTAAAAACTCAGAATTTGGAAGAAATTGAGAAAGAACTTGAGGTCACTGGTCTGAGGGGCGTGGGGTGGTGCACACTGTCATGGGCCTTCCTTCAGTCAGGGACTGAATGCCGGAATACACTTTGAGAGCAGAAAAATCTGCCTGGGAAGTTGAAATTTAATAAACACATCAAACATGAAATTAAATGTGATTCGATCACATTAGAAGTATTAAATACATGTTTCACTATGCCAATTCAAAGAAAGCAAGCAGTATGCATGTGCAAGCCAAAGTCCTTTTTTCGGCCTCAGAACCAAAGCTGCTAAGTCAAGGAGCTTTTCTCACTGTTCAAGTGCCACATACCATTTAAGTTTTTCTCCAGGTTCCTTGACTTTTAAAGCCACTTGCACTGTATTTATGCATATTTAGAAATTTTTCTATGTCTCCTTTATTCTATGTTGAGGGCAATATAATGTGAATATACTGTTAATAATAACTACTATTTTTGCTTGTTTTGAACCAACCAGTAATTAAGAGTTTCAGCTTTTTATTTTTGTTCTCTTCAAACTCAATTAAAAGGTACTTTTGCCTTTCAGGAGCCATTTTTACAATTCATTTGAGGAGCTGGGTGAATTAAAGAAAATCCTATGCTTTCGAATTGTAGATGAGGCTGTAGATTTGCCTTGACAATATTACTTTAAAGGGATCTTTTTTGTTTTGTTTTTCTTCCAGGTCTCACTTGCATGGCAATTTAGCCTTGCCTCAGAATTGTTACATTATGGGCAAATGGTTTGGTTGTGACATGAGATCATTTTGGCTTCAGAAAAGTGGTAAGCAGGGTCTAAAAGTAAAAAAAAAAAAAAAATCTTTATTGAGAAGATCGAAGGGACATAAAGGCAAAAACTGACTTTCACTGAAACAGAACTGGGGACCAGGACTCCAGTGTCCTTTTTGTAATTCATTGCTTGTTTCCAGGCCCCATGATAGAATTCTTCCATAACAGAGAGAGGACTTTGTTAAATTGTAAATGAGTATTACTTCAAGCACTCTGTGGAAATATATTCTCCCCCTATAGCCCATACATTATTTCTGCTTAGTTATAGTGGCTCACATTTCCCGTAACTATCAGAGAGAACTTAATTCCACTCACACCACATCACTTTACAATTGTGCAGCTCTCTTAATCAACCTTTGTATCAGCCACAAATGTGCAGTATGACCTAATTTGAAAATGTCTCAAAGTGCTGACTCAAACTGTTAGTGAATAAAGGCTAGTCATTACCATTATGACACTAATGTGATGCAAAATAAAATTGAGTTGCATCAGCTGAACATTAGTTTGCAAAAATATTAGTGATTGAATCCATTTTCTGTTCATATTTTATTTATACTTATATATGTATATATATATATATACATATGCATATATTTATTTTTTGTTTCTTTGAAACAGCCTTGCAATAAAATTTTTAAGTGCAGAGGAAGGAAGCCACATTTCAATACTGGAAAAAAACTCTAGATTAAAGGCAGATCACATGTATATTATGATCTCCTATCTATAAGATGAAAACATATTGTTGGAGTCTTATTGGAGTATTTATACACATATAAATGCTACAATATGAAAATTATCATCTTGTCCTGTACTTTGATGCCAGATTCCAAGATTTTAAACATTCCTAGCACTCCTTTGTATTTGCTTAAAAATTCAGTAAACTTTGTATTGTTCAAAAATGCTCTGACTTTGTATTTAGGAATTACAAAGATTTGAGATTTATTTCTTTTATGGGCCCTCTTTCCTTGTTCCTTACTTGACAAAATTTTTTTTGGGGGGTAGAGATACTCTTTAAAAAATTGGTCATTAATTACTTATGAACAAAAGAAAGTAAAATATAAGACTAGAAATTATTTAGCCTCACTCTTACTGATAATACTTTATGGAATGCCACATAAATTATCTTTTTTTACACAGTTCAGATGGATTTGGGGAAAAACTCATGTGCTTATTTAATGCCTATATATCCTAGATCTGGTATTGGTTTCAAACTCTGAGATGATAATTAGTCATTGAAAATAAATTAGGAGGAACCTTTCTTAAGTTAGAGAAATTGTCCCAGTGATAAATCAGAAATTCCACCCTGTATCCCCTTTGGGGTCTCCTGAATTCTGAAAATTTTGAACATAAAAGTGATGTATTAGTGATCAGATACCTCTGATTTTATTTGTTTAATGGGTCTAACAAACCAAGTACACAAATACAAAGGAGATATGTTTTTTCTTTGAAATTTTCAAGAACAAGAAGTTTTGGCTATTAAGAAATGATTTACCCTGCTTCAGATTGAGAGAATATGTGTCTTCATAATATATTACTATGAGCAATCAGCAGAGAATACAGCTATATTAACATGCTGGCAAGCTTAGTTCATTCACTTTCTAGAAAAACGAGTAAAACCTTATAGCAAAATGTGTAGACATTTGCTATTATGTGACGACTTTAGTATTTTAGTCCATTTTACATTGTGTAATATGTGGCTTGGACTATTTTTATGACCTATGTTTTATTTCCACATTAAAACAATCCAGATTTTAAAAAAAAATAACTTTGAATAATTTGAAAGCAGACTTGCCAAAACCAGCCTGCAGAAGCTCGGGCACGCACACTCGGGCTCACTTTCAATTTACCTTTAAAACGAGGGCCACCCTTTGCAGCTAAAATACAATTGTTCTTATTTTTAGGTTACAACGGAAAAAGGTATGTGTGTGTGATTGCTGCAAATGGATTGCCAGCCTCTTAACAGTTCATCATTCTTTAATGATAGAAGCATAGCAGCACCCTTCTGAGGAAAATCTTTTCTGTAGATTTTACTTTGTCTATGCCAGGACAAATTGCGTGCTAAGTTGGAATCATTCTGAGATGTAAGACACCTCCAGGACTGTCCTTGGAATACCTAGGAGCTGACATTCCTCTTTGGGAGATGAGGGGAGAATGCCCCCTGCCCTCTTAACTGGTGATTTACTGTGCTTCCCCCTGGGGCCACAACCGATGATCTGTAAGCTTGTTGAATTTTGAGGCAAATACTAAATATAATCAATATATAAAAATTAAAAAAAAAAGGAGAAAAAAAATGCAATGAAAATTTATGACCTTAACATTCCTTCAGGGTCAAGCAATTTATCAAATTCTCTCACTTTCTGGTTTCAATTACACAGCCATTGTGGAAGGAACTTATTTTAGCAGGTTCATTTGCCTCAGTGGGGAATACAGGACTTTGGCCTAATGCTTCACCTTTAGTGCAGGCCATTTGAGCCTTAGAACAAATACCAATCATCACTCTTTGGGAAAAAGGAATCTGCATCGGCGTGCCCTATTGGAATGGGGTTTCTGTCAAGGTAAACGGTTGTCGGCAATGACTGTGGTAGAGTGGCGATAAATCCCATTTTATTGCTGAAAAATTCCAGCTTCTCTCCATGCCTGACAGCTCCCCACATTCTCATACCCATTTGGGCAATTTCTGCACTATGTCCATCTGGTTCTCATTACCTCTCAACCTGCCTGCGTCTGATCCAGAGAAAGAGCAGGTCAGAAACTGGGCGGGGGTGGGGGCAGGGGGTGGTGGTGTGGGGGGCGGAGAAACCAAGGTGATGAACAAAACAGAAAGCAGGGGGTGGCCCAGGGGGTCGGAGGAGAGGTGAGGCAACAGCGGGGAGAGCGGGGATTCCAGCTAAGACTCTGAGTGGTCCCTAGATATATTTAAGAATGATAACCACAGAGCCAAAGTCAGGAAGCAGAGGAACCTGTATCTTTAGACTTTAGACCCAGGCTTTAAAAAGACACCTGTTCTAAGGTGGAGGAGACAGAGAGTGTGGTAGGTATGGGTGGGTGGGGATAGGTTAAGGGAAAGCACCTCTATTAAAGGCACTGTCAGCCAGATTATCACAGAGCAGAGGGTCTATTCTAGAAGAGCTTGGAGCCCTGTTTACACAGTTGGCAGTCTTCTAAATATGAGGATCAAACTCTGCTGGAGATTCAATTTTGGATCAAAAACATACTTTTCTTGAAGAAGAAGAAAATTCTAGGATCTCCAACGTCCTTGTCTCCGTTCATTTTTCCGAGAAGAATAATATTTAAAAACTAACTTGTCCTAATCAGGGCATTGAGGACGGGCTCATTCACAAAGTGACAGGACTAGCACCGAGTCACTTGGGTTATTCGTAAGCCTACATCTGATGGTTTTTGGAATTGCACAGCATTTATGCCTTCAGAAAGTTGGCCTCATTCTCTGAACCTGAAATCCTTTTGATCATAATTACTTCTGACCTAAAATTACCCATGGTTACCATACGATGCCTCTCCGGGACAAAAAAGAAACGCATACAGTAACTATCTGATAACAAATATAAACAACAAGCCAACTTCAATAGTAACTTAAATTAGACTAGGATGAAACTGCATAACTACATATATGTCTAATATAAGATTTACCAACAACTATATTTATTATAATATTTTGGTGGGGTGGGTGGGGCCATTATAGCTAATACTAAAATAAGGTTCATTGAAGTATATTGAAGTATAAATGTTGAATATCTGAGGGCTTTTAATAAGAATTAGAATCAGATGAATGATTTCACAGATGGTAGTTATTTTGCCACCTGTGTTGAAGTCAAATTTTTTATGCAAATGTCTTAAAACCAGATATGATTGTGTTTTCTTAAATAATGTTGGAGAGCTGTGGCATTGTTATGATTTGCAGACAGCATCTCCTGCATTAGATATGTTTGGACAGACGTCTTAGTGCTTTCTGGATCCCAGGGGTACAGAGTGAATTTCCAGTCCTCAAAATTCATGTTTTCAACAGTTAGACCCCCAAATGCTGCCATGAATATGTTTTTATTGGTTGAATTCTAATATCAGAATTATGTTAAATTTTAGTTCCTGAGCTGGGCCCTTTAGACAATAAATACTGGCTTCTTCCAATATTTGAGATTTAATTTCTAAACTTTCCAGTCATGAATGTTGAAGGAAATTTTATGAAATGTACCTGAAATTGTAAATGTACCCCACATGGACATTTAATGAAGAAAGAAGTTGTTTATAAAAATTTTGAAACAAGTAGGTAATTTGGACTCAAATAAATTAGAAATTGCCAAAAATGGAAGTTTGTTATTTGGCGATTTAAAAATGAGTACTTCCAGTTACCAAATACGGTTCTAAAACAGACATTTTTAGGTGGACCTATTGAAAGGCATAAACCTTCAACCAGGGTCACATATCTATTTAAATAGCCTTAATATACGACATCTGTAATTTGGAAAGTAATTTTAGATTCTTAGCCAAGAAGAATCTCGCTTGAACTTTACTTTTCTAGGCTGTACATATATCAGAGAAACGTGATCATTTAAATTCTAAAGAATGTTTGTTTCTTTTAATAGCATAGCAGAGAATTAATGGCATGGGGGAGGTGAAGTGACAACTTAACTTGATGCTTGATAGCTGTTTACTTATAAATGTGTGCCACAGATTTGTGCCTGTAAAAGAAGGGGAAATAAAGAAAGCGATGGTTTTTAGGGAACTTAAGACACCTGGAAGAAAGTGCTTAGAGGGCTATTGAAATATTTACAAAACAAATCATTTACATTTAACTTTTGTATATGTAAAACCCCAAGTGCCTACAAAAAGACAGAGCCAACTTTGGCTATAAGAAATATTTCAGCATCAAAATGGTTAATAGTATTATAGCTTCAAAAGAGCCTATTGGCTCACCCTCAAGGATGCCCTGCAGTTGTTGTTAAAGTCATCAGATGAAGCTAGCCTTCTCAGCTAGCCTTTAGATTTGTCTGCTAACAGTAAAAATACTATAATAAATCGGTAACATATGTTGCCAGGCAAGGAAAAGTGATATAAATAAAGAGACTAGGAGACCCAAACCAAGTACAATGTGAAAAGAATTTAACTTTCAATCTATTGGCTGGCTAATTACCATTTGAAAAGTAATTTGAAAGTGTTACTGTTATTTGCTTATATTCTTCCTCATTTTTCTTTTTTTCTCTTCAGATTGCATTCTTACCCAAATACTCTTCGCGATTGCCTGCTTTGCGGCTTTGGGGTAAGTCCCAGTTTTCCACAACCTTAAGGAAAAAAAAATGCATAACATAAAAGATGCCAGAAAGACTTATATGTCCTGATGTTTGGGGTCTGTGAAATATACATTGGGTTGTTGTGTGTGTGGGGGATGATGAAATAAAGAGAAGAGGTTTGTTTCTGCAAGGATCAAAAGTGTGCGAAAGTGTGCATATGCAAACGAGGCTCCCATCAGGAAAGCCACCTCTGGAATGGAAATGACAAAGCTTGGAACACACACAATCAATTATTTTCACTAGCATTTAAAATATAGAAAACAAAATCTGCTTTGGGAATTGACTGAATATTTTATTTAGCTTTTTTATTGAGACATCCTTTGAAAAATGGCATAATATAAATAGTTTTACAAAGCAACAATATAATCAATCTCTAAACTAGAATATAAATCAAGGATTTCATTAACTGCTGGTAGCCAGTTTAAATTGTAGTCTTGTCCATAATGTCTATCTATCTATGTATGTCCAAGTTATATTAAAAACCTTTAAATGGCTTTGTAATATCAGCTACATCTAGCTATTATAATAATTAATGGTACTGTTTTATAAATCAATACATGTATTCTTGATAAATTCATATCCAGTTAATGGTGTAATTTAAATAAAAAATTAATGTAATAAAGGACATACAGAAATGGGCAGGAAATCTTTAAAGGTTAAGAGCCAAATTTGTCTAAATTCATTTTTAACCTGTTTTGGAAAAGTTTATATTTAAAATCAGCTGAGATTTACCTTGTTTCCATAAAACTAATCTTGCCATTTCTGGTGGTATCTACTATTGAATTTGTAAGATGTTTTCTTTTTTAACTGTTAAGTTTTAATGACATGCTTACAATACTGTGGAATATTTTACTGCAATTATAACATTTTGTTATTGTTGAATATCCTTTAGTAAAATAGAACAAAACAAAAAAAAACCCCTCAAACCAGTTATTTATTTTTAATACACAAATGAAATGTAAATGCTTTATTTTTTATATACATATATAAATGAACTGTTCTGAAAATCTCCAAAGCTATATAGAAATTTTATTTAAGAGGCAAAAGGACTGATTAGTTCAATGAATTTGCATGTGTAAGAGGCTAGCGTTTTCACTGCTTTCGCTGAATGAACATCCCAGGAATTTTAGAAAAGAAAAAAATTGCATGGAAGAGTCTGAAATGTATTTTAACGCTGCACACGGGTAGAGAAACATTCTACAAAAAGAACAGTGTATTATTGTCCTGATTTTAAAAACACATAGCAAAGGCATATTAAAAAAATAACAAGATTTAGAAAAACAACTGAAGGGTGTATGTTATCAAATACAACATCAAACCTTTCCAAATAAAATTTCATTCGGTGTATAGAGTAAGCATTTTACAAAAAATATCTTTCAGAATTATGCAAACCAGTCTGCCTTGCCATCCTCCCTGACGTGGTGCAGAAATGTTCCTTTAATCCACTGAGCTTTTTCTGACATTTTTCGTAACATTGCTGAGTCTTATTTAGAGCAGCAAAGGAGGCGTATGCAGTTCCTTTTGACACTGATGGGTGTTTCAAAATGTTGAGAGAGAGAGAGAATGACAGAGAGAGAGAGAGAGAGAGAGAGGAGAGAGAGAGAGAGAGAAGATTTGCTACCAGTCACTTCATCAATAGAACTACAGGAGCAATTACTATTTGTTAAAAGTTTACATTTCAAATAAAGCTAAATTTTAAAGAAGGCTCATCCTTTTAGAAGGTCTGGTGCTTGGAAGAGGGAGAAGAGACTGCACATTAGTGATTACATGTTTAAAGTGCACTCAAGTACTGGAACCATTTAAAACGTATTGTGTTTTTAGATGAAACCTGCAGCAAAACCACTCCTAAGAGGCTTAATTTAGGTTTTATAGGAGGAACATAAAAAAGACCAGGTTACAGCAACATGCTGAAATATGGGGTACATTTTAAATATCTTCATTTAAAAACGTATGTTTATTTTCCCTCCTGGGATCACTAACGTGTGTCTCTGCAGAGAAAGCAAGGACATGCTACATTCTTAAAAATTATCTGTTAAAAGGGATCACATTCTGAGACAGGTTTGAGCATTTTTATTACTACAGATAACCTCTTAATTATGTCACTGCCTTCCACTTGTTAATCAGGGACCTTCAACAGAGTTAACCATGGAGTGGTTGCCGTTGGAAGAATACATTCTTATTAAGGATGAAAAACATATTTTATTCCTTTAATCATATTTCATGTATTGTTTTAGCACTGCTAAAAACGTATTTACCTGCTTAAAATACATAACACCTAAGGAAGCGTCTAGATGCCTATAACTGTGTTGTTCATCACTGCAGACTGTGCAGCCCATGAAAAGCTTTAAGGGATAATTTTACTTTTCCTGTCTCCCCCCTTCCCTCCCCCCATCCCACACAATTCCTATCTGAACTAATTTTCGGTTTCTTCTGCAGCCACCAGTGTTTGAGATACCCAGATACTCTTTCAGAGAGCAAGGTGTAAGTGAAGTAAATAAAATCATGTTTCACTGTTGCTTTATCAACCCTCCTAGGTAGTTTTTCTGCCAGCCAACCTGCGCTGTTAAGACCCATAAAATTATGCAATAGTGACTTCTTTGGAGGTTCTCTAATCAGATAATGGCCAGTGTTAGGAGGGAAGGGCCCAAGGCAATGTTGCTGGCACTTAACACTGTGGTTGGTCATTACTTGTCTGGTAGAGACCAATAAACAGCTGATTACTATCCTATAAGGAGCCAATATTTTACATTTATCCTGGTTATTTTTTCCTTTTCTTTCCTACTTCTTATTACAGGGAGTATTTGTCAAGAAGATCTATGAGGAATAGCCTCACAGGCACCTTAAAAATAAGAATTTTCCTAGCATGAAATGATGCTTTTTTTGTGGAAAGGTGAGAATGATGCTGGCTTTTATAAGAGCAAAGGTTCCATTAGTTTAAAGTTCATTTCTTTCAGACAGGGACACTCCCGGACACCATCCCTGTGGCTCCTCTGTCCCCTTTTCTCCCTCTGTGACAGGTTCACAGGCTGCAACTAAGGGGTTTTAAAATGCAAATATTTATATTTGAGCTCTGGCAATAACAGGCTTGTTTTGCTTTCTCCAGAAGCCTGTGATAATTGATGCTTCATACCTGAAACTACGTTTCATTTATCTCTTTACACATGAAGATAGTATATAAATAAAAGGCAATTTATGGCAAGGAAAAGGCCATTTGAAATAATAATCCTAAATTTGACTATATAATCATTTAAAGCTGTAAGAGTCAGTGATGCAAATTACTAAACTTTTAAAGGAAACTTGATTGCAAAGGGGAAATTTGTGCATTTTGAATGCTTATTATTGGATTTGAGTGCCTGCATGGGCCAAAAAAGAACAAGAAGGATAAACAGGAAAGCAGGAGAGAAAAGGTGTGCATGTTACATGTGTTTTAAACGAATGTATGCAAGCACATATTTAGACTTCTTGTTACAATTTTATTAACTTTCTCTTTGCATTTCAATTTTATTTTGTGCTAACCAATGCAAATTGTGAAATAATAGCAAGTCTTCTAACGTGCCTGTCCTTCCCTGGGCTCTTCGTCTCAGCATGAGCAGAGGTACACCGGCCGATGAGAACTGGACCTTGATTTCACAACCTCATACAAAGCCAGGCAATTCTTGAGCCAAACAAACAAAGGGGGTGTAAGCGATTTCATTTATTTTGATAATCCTCCTCCTGCACGGGAGCATTTTGCTGTCTTTGTCAAAGTGAATGACAACAATTTGGCCAACTCTCTCTGAGCTGCACTCAACAGTGACAGGCAAATTATCAGAGGCCCTGCACTTCTTATTATCAGAGGAGAAGCCATCAAGGGGACGCATGGAGGATACCTCTCCCTTGTCACTATTTGTCAGTGGGACAAGGGCCACTGCTATGGGTAGCTGACAGGTAATTTCAACAATAACAATTACTCCTATTACTGGTGTCATAAACAATTCGCCCAAGGCATGACAATAGCAAAGCTTTATAATTCAATGCCATATAAATAAATGCCAGCAGGTAACAAGTAATTTAGCTCCAATCAAGCTTTCACCCCGGCATTAATATTGTTATTGCAAGAAAATGGAAAATTGAAAAAATTCAATATGTTAATGAATTAAGAGAAGTTCAAGGGCTAGACAAGAGGAGTTGAAACAAGGAAACCAAAATTATTATGGTATCATATTTGGTGCTATCCTGGGGGCCCAAACATCAGTATAATTACTTTAAGACAAGAAGGGGAAGCCAGCGTGCTGTTGCCCTAGCCTTCAAACCAGGGGGAAAAATGTGACATGGCCTTTCAAAAAATCCGCCTTGCTCCAATTTCCCGAAGAATATAAGTAGAAATATGAGAATGTATATGTAATGTAGCATTTCACTGGCTTTTTTTTTCCTACCTGAAATATTTCATATGAAGCAGAGGCATGAGTATCAAAGGAGCATTTCCATCTGTTTAAGGAAATCACATCAGCACCTGCTTCCTTTACATTAAGTCTCATAACGAAACTATTTTAATAAGCCTTTTTCTTACGTGGGGTGAAGGGAAAGCTAAAAGTCATCTTTGCTCTCCAGCTGTCCAGCTTTTGGAAGTGGACCGGGGGATACGGTGTTATCTTTGAACGTAAAATTTCCTGATCAAACCCATTTGCAATTTTAGTATTTGTCCAGCAAGACAATGTGCCATCACGGTGACAGCAGTAAAAGAATTTGAAAATCTCTAATTAGGAGAGCTGCAGAGCAATTAACGCATGTCAAATTTCACTTCATCAAGTGCCACTCTAATTTTCCCTCTAAAAATTAATGGATTTTTTTTTCTTTTGGTATGTGTGTGTGTGTCCCCTTAAGGCAATGTTGATTCAAATCTGCTCAAGATGCAGTGTTGCACAGCTAAGCATCTTCTTGATTACAATCCGCCACACTTCTAACTGCGCTCATTCTCACTGCCACGGATACTTTGTCAACAGTCAAATTACACCACGCTGATAACAATGCATAATGGTGTTCCTCCTCTGAGGCCCCTGTCAGGAGATGGGGTTCATAAAAATGTGATGTTTTCTTCTCAGCTGTTTCCAAAGGAAGTTTGTATGACCAGGTTCCTAGTCAGGCATTCATTTTTTTAAAAAATTAATGTGCTAAATTCAAAAGAAAAAAAAAAAGAGAGAGAGAAAGGAACAAAATGATGGAATATGAAAATTCCTCACTGAAAAAAAAATCAGAGGAAGAATGAGGAATTGAGAATATCTGTGGCCAAAGTTTTGCTTAGACACTTTGTTCGGAGACATTTTCAAGAGCACTATTCTTGGTTAAATACCAGATTTTTTCCCCTTTACTTATGGTCTATAAACATTGGAAGCCTCTCTTGAACAGACTGTATTTAGATTGTGCGAGAAGTTTGTTTAACTGCCATATTTGCCAGAATCCTCAAAACATCACAGGACACAGAAGACAAATGACTTTTTTTGGGGGGGGAGGTGGGTCAGGACTGTATATTCCAGATAAATGTTGATTCATTTTAACTATTTTTTATCCTAGTTGCTTGTTGCAGATTGGTGTGTCTGAGACATCAACACATGTGAGGAATATTTCTCACTGAAAAACGAAAGAAAGAAATGCAGTGATTAGAAAATGATTTTACAGTCAGTCTTTTTAGAGATTATTCAGTTTTTAAAATTAAAAAAAAACCCATCAGATCTAGAACAAAGGAAATTAAACCAAATGTTAAATGTATCTCTATAGATTCTTCAGATAGATTGAAACATTCACATAGATTGATACCTCAGTTTTCTCAGCATGTAAGTATATTTTTGATCATATGTTTTCTTTCATCATATTCATTCAATAAAATAATCTAAATTCATGGAACCTAAACTTTATTTTTTTAATTCACAGGTCAAATCCAGCTTTTTATTTGCTGACAACTAACTCAAAAATCAAAACTTGGTATTTCAAGGTTTGTATTTTCAAATATTAAATGTCTGTTCCTTGTCTTATGGCCCCACCCAGCATGTTCCTAAGTGGTCTACTTCAAACAAAAGAAAATGACACCCCCTTTCAACTAGCCAAATGTTAGATTCTCTCAAAACCGATTGGGGACTCACTAGAAGTTTTGCAATTAGATTCACACAAATTGAATTATTTTATTTCTTCCCAAACGTCATTCTTAGAACTTTATAAATATAACAATACTGGGTTTAGAGTTTTTTGTGGCTCATTTACAAATAAAGGTATTTTGATAAAGCCAGGCTCTGTGTACCTTTGAACAACAAAAACCTGAAACAATCTCATATTAAAATATTACAAAAGGGTTGTAAAGGGAAATTTAAAGGGAGAAAACTTGATTATATAATGCAATCCAGCAGTAATCAATTTTACCTTCAATATCTTGCTTTTGTTTTCAAAATGCTAAATAAACAATACATAATGCATCCCTCATCAGCCAAACCATGGAGGCTCTGTGCTCAAATAACAGGAAACATATTCAATTTTCCTAACAGAAGACAGTTCATTAAGCTGTGCCACATCAAATAAAACTTTAATTTCTCCAGCATCAGAGTCGCAATGAAAGCAATTGAAGAAGATGAGCCATATGGTACTTCTATCAGCAAACACATATTGCTCATTCCCCCAAAGTTTTCTAATTCTGCTCCCCAGACCTGTGTAATATAGATAATGTGCTCCGAGAGCAGCAACCATGAGCTATCTAGTGTACACTTCTAATACTGTATTTAATGGGAAATAATGAATCATAAAAGCCTAGAGAAGACGGCTTTTGCTAACCTAAATCTCAGCTGTAATTTCATTGTTCTGTGCCTAAGATGCTGTTTGCCCTTTCCAAACAACAGCAGTTGAACATAATTATGCCGCTTCAAACCTGGGCTTGAAAAAGCATCCCTAATATAACCAAGTTTCTATTAACTCCTGAAATTCTGAATTTAATGATGCACTGATACAGACATTGAGATAACCGAGCATGTGTCCTTTTAAAATCCAAATAAGCATTTTCTCCTTCTCTTTGGTCAGAGTGCTCAATGCTTTCATGCTCCCTCCTCCCTCCCCCACCCCCTTGCCCCCACCCCCACCCCATGCAACAGGAGTGGCATGATTAAAAATGAGGAGATTTTCTTGTTATTAGCAAACTTGACATTTGCCTGATGAAATGCACATAAAATGTGAAAGCTACGCAGTACTCAGAAGAAATGTCTCCACTCCAATACTAGCTACCAAGATGAAATAATTTAGGTAAGGGAAATGTAAAGATCCTCGTACCTCTCTGCTGCAGAATGCTAGGATTGTGTTATATAAATGAAAAAACCAAATATTGCCGAGCTTTTAGACTGATAGTATTTTGACACATGTGAAGTGCATGGTGTTTCTTCTCTCACCTTAGCTGCTTTGCCCGTTCACCTAAACATAACACATATGCTCAAATGCAGCAATTTATGTGTCATGAGCCCAGCCTTTCTCTGAAAAGATCTTGGGGCTTTGTTCGTTTTTAGGGAAAAATGTTGCTTCCCCCCCCCCCGCAAATAGGTCGATAATATCAGCTTTTCCATTTTTAAAGCTCATCAAATCAATATTTTACCAACATGATGCTAATTTAAAACACCATCAAATAACACTGTGGATACATATTGAAAACATATTTTAATGGTTTTGTTTGTTTTGGTATCATATGAACCAAGAACAATTAAATTAAAAAGAGACTTTTAAAAGTTAGAGATTGCCTTTTTAAAGCTTATTAAAATCAGCATGTTACATGCCTGTCTCTGAATTAGCTCTCACACTTGATTGCCATCATTAAAACTAGTTGTTTGGGTGCTGCTCAAAGCCGATTCTTACTAGTTATTAACTTGAAATCTCTTTCCATTGAAATTAAAAAAAAAATCTTTCTAACTAGTGGAAGAAACAGTCGCCAAAAAAAACCCCCAAAAAGCAAAACCTCGAACTAGCACAGCAAGACAGCAACATTAAACCACGAAAAGACCAACAGGTAAAATAACTACAGTAACATCTAAAACACACTCAGAAAAAAAGAAAAATCACAACAACAACAAAGAAGCAGTCCATTGATTATATTTCATGAATGCCTTAAAACAAATGTTTAAACAGTTTTCTGAAACAGTGCAGAAAACCTCTGCATGCTCCACTGGGTTGCAATGACAATGGTCTATTGCAATGTAAAACACGCTGGAGGATAAAAAGGTGCTTTTTGTTACCATTTTATCAAAGCTGTTCATCTTCGAGCTGCAGGCAGCATTTTGCTGGAATTGCAGATATTTCTCTGTCCAGGCTCCTTTGTTTGTGCATCTCATTTGCATATATTTATCTCCAGCTGAGGGTGCTTTCTGCTCATTAAGGCCTCCCTTCACATTATTTCATAAGCCAGCTGCTAAGAGGGATTTCACCTGTGGTGACTGAGAAAAGAGGGGTGAAAAACTAAATTCTTCATAAAAAGGAAATCTTCTGAGTCTCTTCCCCTATAAATGGGCACCATTTGTGTTAAACAGCCTCTTGTCATGATAGATGCCTCCAGAGGTCAGGGGTTAAAGTTGATTTGAAGGTCAGCAGTAAAACAACAGACAAACCAGACGCCAAACTGGTTCCTTAGCTGTCGGTGGGAGCTGTGGTACAACCAGGTCTTGAACCTTTTTCAACCTCTAATAAAACAGGGGATGAATCTGAAGTGGATCAACCAGGCCCCTGAGGAAGCAGCACAGAAAAACACAAATAATATCAATATCAGGCAGCCACAGGAAACAATGGGGCATTTCTCAGTGCTACATGCATGCTGCTATTGTTTCAAGGGCCAGGGAATTAATTCCACTTATTTATTTAAGGCGTGTCAACTCACTGCCTAAACCTGTTTCAGTGTCAAGATGAATAAAACTTTTATGGCTCATAAAATAGAGCCATTCATCTCAATGTTCTTTGTGGTGCATTTCTTTTTTTTTTTTTTTTCCTGGGCATACTAGGCCTCTGCTCCGAAATGGTTACATCCGAACCCACTGCTGCTACGATCCACACCATATTAGAGAAAAAAATTATTTCACTGGCAAGTGGATCACAACAGAAATGACACAGGGAAGCATTTTAGCTATGATATAATAGTCCCCCAAATTCTTCTGAACACTCCTCATGCAGTTGCATCTGTTTTGAGCATGCATTTATTTGCAAAGCAGAGGTTTTATGATTTTGGAGAAAAAGTTCAAAAGAGAGAGCCATCAAAAAATTAGTTTTCTAGAATATCATGTAATATATTCCATTTTACTTTAGAAATGCAACCTTGTCAGGGTAGCTCTTTCCCATTCATCATTTTTTTTGCCCAGTTTTCACTGTTATGTAGTCAGCTTGTGCTGATGTAATAAGCAAATGCCTTTTTTAACTCTACTGCTCTGAATTTTATGTTTGATTTTAAGCATAAAATGGCACATATAAATGGAAAAGAAAATGCATTTATGGGATTTTTGTATTATAAATTTTTTCAAAGTTCAGTTACAGAATGAATTTTACTTTTGATTTCCTGACAAATGATTTTAATAATAATATAGTACTTATAAACAAGTTAACATTTATAAAGTGCCACACACAATGCTAAACACATGCATTTTCTCATGCAATTATTAGTGATAATTCAATCCAAGTCACACAGGTCCCTTTAGAAAGGACTGTAATAATAGCTCTTTATTATCCACAACATATTTTAGTTAAAACAAAATGTTCCAGTCAAACAATATCTTCACTATAGCACATCATTATAGCTTTAACAGGTGACATCATGGGAACATGATTGCTTTATATTTAAATGAGTAAAAGGAAACAATTTGATGATATTTCACATATTTTCCAATCACAGCTTCAATTATGTATATTACAGCTTTTTGCTTTATTGCAATGCAAATTGATTTGAGAAGGATTCTCTTACTATGTTTTCCTAGTTGCCTAGTTTTTGAGTTCTCTAATGAATACTGTGGCCATTACTTATGAAGCTGGATTATTTCTGATTTAGCCTGTTAGTAGGTGAGGGTTTTTCCCCATGAACTCAAGTGTTTTTAGCAAGTAGATCATTTGAGAATGGCCCCAAATGGAAGTTGTGCTTTCACATTTTGCCTGTGTACAAAGATATGGCCCTGAGGAAGAGGGATTCAGTTTTGGGGTACCAAGCACTGCTCAAGATTCAACTGCTCTTTTTTCCAGCTTGAATTGGTGCGTGCACCTCACAGATGTACCAGTTGGTTTATTTACTGGTGGCCCATTTACTAAGCAGCCCTGTTTGAAAATGCAATTGCTTTCAAGTGGGCCAGTAGCTCAGAATTTACTGCGTTTTTGGTAATCTATAGAAACGTGTTTGCATTAAAACATAGAGCAGGGGATTTTTCTTCTGTAGCCAATTACAGTTTAAAAAATGCAACTAGTCTTGCTTCACACAAGGAGCTCAACTTGCGGTCGGAGAAATTTTCCGACTTATTAAATGTTGTTTATATCCTCATTTTTGTAGACCCTCTGCTTTCCCAAAGCATTTTATAACTCCCTCTGAAGGTGACTTATCAATTTTCTTTCTGACCTTCTGCATTAAATGTAACCCCACCAGCCCTGATCCAGAACCTCCAAGCAACTAGACTAGCGCCAAAATATACAATCTACCCTCTCCAAGTGTGCACCGATGTCTTTCGTTTTTCTTTTACTCTAATCTAATCGCTAATTCTTAAGCTTTGGCCAAATAGTTAAAAATGTTAAGTGCTAGCAAAGCCTTCTGCCTCCCCCTCATATCTGTCTCTGTTTGTGGAATGGGTCCCAGTTTCCTCCTCTTCTCCTTCAGCCCAGGGTCTTCGGGTCAGAACACTGTAAATACACACAGCCCTGGCTGGACCCATAAATCTGAGCAAAGGGCAGGCTTATATATTCAGATAAGCTCAGGCAGAGTTAGGGGCATGAAAGGAGGGAGAACTAGCA